CTTCCACAAAAATGCTGCATAGAAAACAGCAACCCACCTACGTACGTAATTCATTTTGCAAAGCACTTGGAGCTGTAAGTGCTTAAAGTACTTTAATATTTTAGTACATGGGCATAAAAACACAGGGTGGTATAGATTATAATCTGCAATTGACAGTTACTATTGACATTTACATTGTTAAACAAACAGAAGGCTGCATATTCAACTGAACGGATCAATTAATCATTCAAAATAACAGTTCTATGAAATGTGTAATTTGCACATCAAATTGTATTTTCATTCTTCCTTTCACAGGCCTCTGTAAGTGGGTTTTGCACATTTCTGTTTTAGAAATTACAGAAAACGAACTGGGGGAAGAAATATATAATGACGCACAATGTAAAACTAGTGTAGATTTTATCATATTTTTCTCTCTATTTTTGTCTATGTACATTTTTCCTCTGTGTTTCCAGTTTACAGAATGTTACTTATTTGGGTCTTTTCCTCTGCAGGGCTCCCTTCCATTAAAAATGCAAAAATGATTTCATCTATTCTCATTTCACAGACGATTGATGAAAATAAATCAAGAGAAAATAAGGCTGCTTTCCCTATGCAGTCTGTAATCACCCAAGCCGATGTTTATCACATGAACCAATCTGTGGAGAATCATAACTCAGTCAGCATTAATACAGCATTCGTATTTCTTCCAAGAAAATTGGGATTCCAGGCAACTTCAGAGGACAATGTATTTAATAGCAAAGAAGAGAAACCATGGCATAACCAGAATAAAGGTTTTGCTTCCATTACAATCACTGCTAAGCGAGTTGTTCCACCTTCAAACAATAACATTCAGACAAATACTTTTGACCCTTCTTGCTTGGAAGGCCAGAAAAATAACTGGCTAATAACAACGGTTCCCGCTTCAGATGTAACTGGCTTATGTAAACTTTCCAAATCTTTGCATTCTCAAGAAAATGGCCAAAATCGAAGTGTCAGTGAAATAAAGATTTCTGAGTCTTGTCTGCAGAGCTGCAAGGGGCAATCTGACTGGATTTCTAGCCCCGCAAAGAGAGTGATCCCCTCGGATAACACCCATAAGAAGCAAACACCTCTTTCTTTCACCTCAAGTGTTCACCTCAGTATTTCCCAACAGTGTCCAAAATCAATATATTATGTAGACAAGTCTCTTTTGGTACCTATTGATCAACTTCAAACTAATACTCAAAAAATGCACCGGTCAGTTGTGTCTTTTCAGATAAATTGCAGTTCTCAAAATACAACACCAGATGGAGTGGATAGTTTAGCTAATGGGAAGTTAATCACAAAAGTACTTGAGTTCCCAGAGGATCATAAGACATCATTCAAAGCAATTTGGAATGCAGATCTGCAAGATATCTATTTGGATAAAAAACAGAGACTGAAAATTGAATCTTTAGGAACTAAAGATTTCTGGAAAAGTGCCCCTCGATCTGAAACTCTGTCAACTCTGATCAGCCCTCAGGAAGTTGATAATTTAAGACAAATAAAGAACAATGATATACCTTCAAGTGATAATCCCATGACATTATCTGGTTACATTCCTCATTGGACTTACCATGAAGGTAAGTAGGTTAAAGAGATCCTAACATAGCGTATGAGATATCAAAGGCTGTCTAAACATTTATTTATTATGGGCTTTTGGGGGCAGAGGCTATTCTTTTCTACATTTTCTCACAAGGAAATAAACATTACAGGATTATGAAAAGTACAGGGTTTTGTTTTGGTATCTTGTTCATCCTCCTGTTCCAGGCAGAAATAAATATCTCTGACAAGTGGTTCTCCCTTATCGGATAGCCTCCAGGAAAAGGAAGTTCACTGTAGATCAAGGCATTTTAAAAGGTCTTTCCATCTGGAATTTTTTTTCTAATGTGCCTCTTGAATCTCCTTTCTTTTAATTTCAACTTGATTGATTCCCCCTTGGAATGTAGGTTTCTTATTATCCTGGAAGCTCTCTCTTGAACTCTCTCTAGCTTCTCAATGTTCTTTTTAAAATGCAGTGCCCAGAATTGGAAATGCTACTCTACGTGGGGTATAATACATGCAGAGTACAAAGAACCAATTGCTTTTGTTAATGCAGCCCACTGGTTTTATTCGCTTGGATATTATGAACCTGAGAGCCATTCAGGAAATCTTACATTTGTGATTTAATTTATTAATTCATTAGTATTCCAACATAGCCTTTATTTGAGATTTTTTTTTAATCTACAAATACTCGGGTGTCCAACTGTACAGGTAGTCCTTGACTTACAACCACAATTGAGCCCAAAACTTCTGTTAAGTGAAATTTGTTAAGTCCCATTTTATGACCTTTTTTCCGCAGATGTTAAGTGAATCACTGCAGTTGTTAATTATAGGGATTTTAAGTGATTCTAGCTTCCCCATTGACTTTGCTTGTCAGAAATTCACGAATGGTGATCACATGACCTAAGGACACTGCAACCATTATAAAGATGAATCATCCAAGCATCCGAATGTTGTTCACGTGACCATGGGGATGTTGCAATGGTTGTGTGAAAAACAGTCATAAGTTGCTTTTTTCAGTGCTGTTGTAACTTTGAACAGATACCGAACAAACTGTTGTAAATTGGGAACTACCTGTACAAGGGAGTAGGTTCCCAGAATCAAAGCACTAAAATATAAAGTGGTCCTAATGTTAATATGCAAGGTGTATTGATGCAAAAACAAATTATGTAGCCACAGTTGCTAAAGCAGCAACTAGTGAGGAATAGTCATCCAAAAATTTAAAAATAGTGAATGTTCCCATACCTGGAGAAAGATTTGTATAATTGGATGTGGGAATGATTTTGAGAGACAGGAAGAAGAGCTGCATATTAGACAACCATCATGCAAAAGCTATCCCAATCCACAGAAGCGGAGGGAAACATTTTCTGGAGAGTAAGAGTAAAGGAAAGAAGCTTGCAAGATTGATAGTAGCTCTTTGAGATAGTCTAGAAAAGAAGCACACCAATGAATATTAACTCTAGTTCAGAGGTAGGATGCTATAGAACCAGTAGCTCTGAAGAGCAGCAGACACCAAACCAGTTCTGTGTTTGCTGCTGTTTGGCCCACCCGCCTGCCCGGGCTCTTACCTGTCCTTTATTTCCTGTTTTTTCAACCTCAGCTGCTTTGCCCAGTACAGCTAAGGTTGAAAAAGCAGGAAAAAAGTGGCTTTTCAAATGCTGTGCACCTGCACGCAGCACTTTTCAGCTGTCCGGGGGGCATAGCTTAAGGTTTTTTTTACACGTGCACACAAAACGTATTCACTGAACCGTTATAACACTGGTTGAATCCCACCCCTGCTCTAGTTTTATTGTAAGTATACATTAGCAGAATCTTTCAACTCCTCTCCTTTTTTACCTTCACTGTGGAGAAAACAAGAGAGGGTCCCTTTGGAAACACTTCCCATGTTCTACTCTGCTTTTGTAGACTGAGATACCACTTGCACAATGGTTTCTAGTCTGTGGTTTTTGTCTTCCTCCAAGGTCATTCCCACATACCACTACACTTGGGCAGACATCTTGCATTCTCCCTGCCCACTCAGAATTGGCTCTAAAGAGTTGGGGAATTTAACAAATGCATAATTGCAGACAAAACCAAATGAACACTTAATACTGTTTAATAAAATGTGTCACATAACATGAGAGGCCCATATTCAGTGTAGAAATTTGGGTTCAACATGTTGGGTACTCTAGTATGTCACGATCCAGGTTGAAGCACTCTATTATGTATTTACATTTTATATCAATATGCTCCCTTTAGCTGTTTTCCCATCTGAAAGTCAAAATTAGCCAAATTTGCTTGGATTTCCTGCGGCTGTGGAATCTCTATGTACTACTAAAACACTTGTGCCTCTAACCTTTAACTATGCGAAATAGTGCATTTATAGGGCAAAATCAAAGTATCTCAAATGGGCTAATTTACATAATGCATCCAATATCTGTGACTCGGGTCTCCCATGGATTGAAATTTGGCAAATGTAAAGCATTTTATGATACAAAAAATGATCATGAAGCACTTTATGACATAACACAAAATGTCATAAAACATTTCCTGTGATCAGCTCTTGATGTTGGGCTATGCTATATAATTCAACATGGACTGAGTATCTTCCTGAATTTTAAGATCTTTCCAAGTATACTTAGGAGCTCTGCAATTGGTGAAGATATTGAGGAATCTGGTAAGGAAATATCTCTGAAGCAATGACCCAATATTGTTTGTCTATTATGTTTAAAAATGAAAGTCAAAGTATTGCTCTTAGCACAATACTTACTGGGCATTTGGACATGTGTCCATAGGGACTACCCACAATATGCCTATGAAACAAACCAAAAAGGATCAATCTAGTAGACATCTTATTACTTTCAGTTATCTTTGTGTTACTTACAACAGTTCAACCAGCTTTTGAAAAATGAGGCATGAAGTAAAACTATAAAGAATAGTTTGATGGAAAAATAGAAAACATGCAGAGTGTATTTAGGTAGGTAATCCAGTATTGACTTTCACAGGAAGTTAAAAAAAATATGCAAGGAAATCAAAAGGCAAGTCATGTTCTTTCTTTCCTGAGTTAGACAGTTTGAATAGGATGATTGGTCAGCTATATTATTTATAGGTTCCCTACAGTGATCAGTATCAGTTTGTGTACCCTGTAATTCTTTTGTTTGTAGCTGTGTTTGAAAGAACCATATGTTTATTATTTGTTTTAACAATGTTGACACAATGTTGCAACTATAAATCCTTGCTGAGCCCATCATATAACTGCTGAATTTGTATCTCAGTGGTTGTTCCCTTTGGCCCCAAACGTTAAACATTGTTAAAAGAAATCTTGTGACTCAAGAACTATTTCTTACCCGTAAGCATAGTTTTGGAAGTTTTTAAAAGATTTTCCTTTTCTTTTTTTAAATCTTACTTTATTTGGGAGGTTGCCATTAAAAAACGAGCAGTAATGAAACAATAATTAAAGACAGGAGTTTTAATTCTCTAAGAAATGTTTGCTGCTTAAAAAACTAATTCTATAATGGAACGGATTAAAAGATAGTTCTACTAAGCTTTATTCACAATAAAATTTATTAAAATAAGTTGTTATGGTCTTTTAGAGAATTGAACTATATAGTTAATCTGGGGCTGTATTTGTCTCCAAATTTGTAAGTTCTGCAAATTCAAAATAACCAAATTTTTAAAAACATTTCTGCAATGCCAATACCATTTTTCTTTTTCAGACAAAGTAAGGAGACATCCACAGGCATCATATTGCCATCATGCAAACGATGTGAATTATGCAATACACATGAGTCATGCCATGTGTTAAGAAATAGGCATGGCAGGTCTAGGAATGTTTTTATTGTTATAGGGTAGAATAAAGCCTGTCCTAATTTTTATCTGCACCATCAAGGTGGGGTTATCTTGAGTTTCTTTCTCATGCTTTTTTTTCTTTCTCAGGATGGAGTAATCTTTTCTACCAGTCCTTTTTTAAAGGTTCATTCATTCCTTTCTCATTTCCAAAGCCATTCCTTCATATCAATTCTGGTGCCATAGTCAAATTCCGCTGCTGCATGTGAAGATAGATCCCAAAATTCATTGAAAAGTCAACCCTCTCCTGTTTTTGTATGGCAACTACCACTGGGCAGTCCAATGTGCAGGAAACAAAGAATCTTTTGCATCTTGGAGTTTTTTGTATGTCAATATTGGCAGCAGTTCAGGAAACAGAGATGTAGAGGGCAAGGGGAACAGCACTGAAGGAATGCTTTTCTCATTCTCAGTGCTGAATAATCTTTTTTGGTTCTTCCTTAACAATTTGCTGATTTCTTTCCCTTTCCTAAAGCCAGATTTACATTCCTTCAATCTTGCAACTGATGCGAATTACATAATTACTCTAATTTGCACAATTATGCTAGGGGCATGTACTTATGTTTATCAAATTTAGAAACCATATAAATATAATAGAAATCAGATTAAAACAAGAATAAAACATTTAAAGTTCAGGACTAAAAGACAGAGTTCCTTCAAGGTGCTAACCAGTCCCATGGCTCTGTGTACCTGTGTGGGCCCCAAGTGAGTCAGCACAGCCAGGTCTTCAGATATTTCCAGAAGGCCAAGCAAGTGTGGGGGCCATCTTGTCTCTGTGGGAGAATGTTCCAGAAGGTAGGGGCAACCACAGAGAAGGCCCACACCCATGGCTGCCTTTAACTGCCAAAAGCTTCTAGTTCTACTTCTCACTCACCTAGTTTGTCATCTTAGTGATTTCAGCTGGTGGAGTAGCTATTGCTTTACTAGATGGATACAAATTTATGCAAGTGATATGGCAGCTCCAAAAAAGATGGTACCAGGCACTTTTTCTAGGGTAGTGGTTCGGAAACTTTGGACAATTATCCCCAAAGGCATATCCTGGGAGTAATAGGGCAATTTATAATTGCTTGTTGTTAGTCGAGGATCCAGTTAGGACTGCCATTGCTGAAGTGCTTATATAAAACAATAGACAGGGTAATAACATTATTTAAGACTGGGAAAAGAGTAATTGGTCAGAGAATCACTGGTGTAGGGAATTGGCCATTCCATTATAAGTTTAACCTTGAATGCTAAGGAAGATATGTTACATCATATGACATCTTAATATATTTTAAAACTAGAGCAAAAATAATCCTACCTTGTAAATTAAATATACAATCTGGTTAGGACCAATTTGTTCTTTTATGCCCTTATTAGTAAATATGGTCCCTTAAACGCCTTACAACATATTCTAGAGCTGTCCTAAATGGTATTTCCTGATAATATAGAAAATGACTATATCATAAATGTCTGCTACAGCAAAGTCCTGTTCTTCCTATAAGAAATATTTTTTAGTCAGAAGGATTAAATTGATATGGGCCTTGGGGAGTGATAAAAAGATGGAACACTCCTGAGCATAGTCACTTAAGGGTGTCTAGATAGAAGTGGCCTCGTGGCAAGGGGAGTGTGTGTGTGCGCTCGCCCTGAGGCTGCTTCTACCGGCCGATTGAAGCTCCCTTGAAGGCAGAGTCCCCAGCTGCTTCGGGGCGAGGTGTGGCACACACACACTCCCCTCGCTGCGAAGCCGCTTCTACCGGTTGATTGAAGTAGCTGGTGACTGCATTTGGGGAGCTTCCATCGCCTGAAAGAGACTGCCCTAAAGGTGAGGGGACACGGGTAACCATGCCACGCCCTGAAGTGGCTGGGGACTCTGCCTTCAGGGAGCTTCTATCGGCTATCAGGGTATTCTAGCCTAGGCTACCTGCAGGGCACTCCTAAAGGCAAGTTTTCTCCCCATCCCCCCCACCCTTCCCCCGCCCATTTCTCTTCACCTCGTGTAAACGATGTGAGAAATGGCGGGGGAAAAGCATGGTTTGAATAGGCCTAAATTTTGGGGGCGGGGCTTAATTTCACCTCATGCCTAGAAAACATGCTGGGCCTTCCTATTGGTGGAGGCCGTACTGTTGGAGAAACACGGTACTTCATCTAGAATCAGACAGCTTTTCTTCTTTAAATGTTTCTTCATAGCATGATATCTCTTTTCTCCCCCTCTGCATCTTTAACACTGGCATTGTCTTGCCCCCAACTGCAATTTAGGTGGCTTTATTTTGCCATTTTCCAAACTGCAACATACTTGATAGCTGCAAAACATTTAAGAGAGCAAACAGAGTCATTATAAGATATCATTATGTTGGCAGCTCTTTCTATTGCCACAGCAACAACTGGATTTCACTAAATATTGTTGCAGCACTTTTGTTGCTGATTCAGAAGATCCCAGTTTGTTAGCAACTAAATATCTAAAACTTCAGCATCCCTCAGGGCTTGGCTGTTTCTGTAATAATAACAGTAATCAAGATTCCCTAGATATTGCACCAACTGGTAACTCAAAAGCAATTAGATTTCTAGAAACTGAGTCAATTGTTGATCAGGACACTGAAAGGATGTTAAAAAAATAAACACCCAGAAATGAGTAATTCTTGATTTTATTTCCTCAAATTAAAAAGTTCATTTTTTTATAACAGAAGTTTAGGAATATTTTTAATGCTTCGGTTGAGTAATACTAGATCCAAACTTCTTAGAAAGTGTTGAAGAATTATCAGATACTGAAATAAAATTGCTTTAGTCTTAGAAAATCTTTCAAGAAAACCTGCAATAGATAACTGGACAGCAGGCAACTGTGGGGAATCATGAGTATCCCCAACATTGCTCATTATTGGTTGTGATGAGAAAAAGGAATATTAAGGGTCACAGTTCTACAACATCCAGAAGCCCATGGTACCTTGTATCTGTCTGGTTAAGAAAAATAGTCGAAAACAATTTGGTTGCCTCTGAAACTATTAAAGGCCAATCAATTTGGAGTCTCAGTTTCATCTTCAAAATGGGTGTCAAACTCACCAGGTCACATGGATGTCACATCACGTATTGCAATGTTTTTTGCTTTCACGGAGCTGGGGTGGGCGTGGCCTGAGCATGATGCATCCTGCCCATAGACCACCAGTTTGACACCCTTGATCTTCAACAACATTTTATTTTATTTTATTTTTATCACACAAGCAATTTAACAGTAAAATACATTCTGGCTATTGCTACTGTGACTAACAGACATGCAAAGGGAAATACAACCTTAAAATCCAATTTTATTGGATCAGATTCTAGTAATTCAGTCAAAGCCAAGTCAGCTGCAAATACACTATGCTAACCATGCATTCTAAAATAAATGCATACTGAACAAGCAAGCAAGTAGAAGATAAACATTAACCATTTAATGGCTGGCTACTTTACAAATATGTCTTTTTAGGCCCTATATTTTGAGATGCTGCAGCATTATTAGACCCTCTTTGTAGCCACATATTATTTTGCTCCTGCCTGAAGAGTCTTCTTCTCATCTGCTGCTTTTTGCTTCTGCTGCATAATTTCAGAATCTCTCTGTTTCCTTTGAAGCTGATAAAGCGTCCTCCTTTCTTTTCCCCTTGTTCTGTTCTTGGATTTTCTTCATACTCTTCTGGCGGGAAAGTTCACGCTGGTTCCCATGGGCCATGGCAAAACAATAACCCCAGCGATAACAACCGTTACGCTCGCAAGCTCCAACCCCCCACCAACCGTTCCAACTACAAACCTTCTCCTTCTTCAACAACATTTTCATTTTATTTAGGGTGACTATAAATGGACTGCAAAATTTCAGATGACCACTAATGGCAGCAAAGATGTGGAGAGAACATTTTGCAGCCCAGATACAGCAAGATGTAGTATAGTGTATCGTATATATGGTACGTCTCTAAGAGCTTTTCTGCCCTGCTCTCTCACCCTCCCCAGACCACTTTTAAAGGGTAGGAATAAATGATAACACTTTATACTCAGTTCCTTCCCCCTTTGTAAATGCCCCTCTGACATTTGAGCACATTTTCTTGCTGCAATTTTGAAGTACGCTTTCCCCTCTTATGTTGCCTCAAGCAGTCTTGTCTGTTTTGACAAGTGCACTTTACTTTGCTCCAGGCTATCCTTAACACTTCATTGGCTGCTTGGCAAAGGCAGAAATGGCCCTTCAACTTGAGCCATGGTGACCAAAGTCTTTAATGTCTTCCAGAACTACATTTACAAGGGATGTTATGGTAGCTGAATGGTTATATTTGCCTTGTAAAGAGATGGTTGTTTGTTTGAATTTTAATGATATAGTCATGGGTCCCTAATTTTGGACAATTCTGTAAGTTAGTTCATTTGAGGTACCTTGTTTCAAAATGTTTTGCTCTATTGTGCACGATTTCATCCAATTAAATTACAGAATCAGAATTTATAGTATGTAGATCAATTTTCTTTACCGAATCAGAGTTTTAATAGTATGTAGATAGATTTTCTTTGCCATTGATGAAAATATCACAAATATTTGGAAAGAATATTATTTCCTTTCTCTCGGTTTTTAAACCAACTGTGGCCCTAGTTTCAGGTAAACAAAGATATGTAACAAACATGGTTATATAGTAAGAATACTAATTATTTTAAATCCTGTGTCTTAGTTGTATGTTCCTGGATTCCAACCTTAAAGTCTCCCACCAAAGATTTCTTCAATACTTTATTATGGTTTTGAAATTAGAATTCAGGCACACATAAGATACAACCTTAAGTCAAATTGCATGTGATATGCTAGTACTGTAATAAATAAATGGGCCCTGCTGGAAATATCATAAAACAACAGGTCCTAGATCCTGGAGAGCAGAAATTTGGCCCCAAGTCACCTTTGGGATTCTGTCAGCCAAATACACACACACACACACACACACACACACACACACACACACCATCAGGATGACCAGAGATTTTATCTTCTGTAGTAACCTTAGCTAGATATCAATACAACAACCTACATTGTAAGCATATACTTTCTCTGGCATTTCAACCTCCCTAGATTTGCACAGCAAAGTCTCTTGGTGCCTGAAGGACTGTAAAATCTGCCTTCTAAAACAGCTGAAGGAAAAGCATTAAAACAGGTTCTGGGGAAGGCCCAGGGATAGCGATTTCAGACAATCCCCGGATTGTTTTAGACTCGCTGTAATAGCCTGACTGAATTCATGTTCTATCCAGTGTTTCCAATCTGCTTAATCACCTTCTTAACCTTGTCACAACTGGATCTTAAAAAGGAAGACTGTGTTCTTGCATAAGTAGGAACAGTGGGAATGGGATCTGATTGCAGCCCACCAGAGCAGAGCAACTGTTTTTGCAGAAAATAACTAAATTGCAGCAGGAATATGTTTACATTCCCAGCAGATTATTACAATTACTGGTGTACTCTTTTGGGCTAGAAAGGAAGCATATTTCAATTGAGAGGGTTTTTTCTTTTCTTTCGAGGATTGAAATATTTCTTGAAATTTAAAGCACCTAATTTTTTAAAAATGATTATCCATATTTCAACCATGAGTTTTGATGCTATTAGGAAACATCACACATTTGATAGTCTGCTGCTTTTTCTTGTAGTGTCATACCAGAACCTTTATTAACCCTTGATGAATGAGATATAATTTCAACCATGTCTAGAGCACGGGGGTCAAATTTGTGGTGTCATGTTGGTATCACGTGATGTTTCTTAATGTTTTTTCCTTTTGCAAAGCTGGGGTGGGTGTGGCTTGTGCGTGACGCATCCTGCCAATAGGCTGCCAGTTTGATACCCCTGGTCTAGAGCAACATTAGGAGGTGCTTTTTTTTCTGAGATGTAATCCCGCAATTTTTCATAAAGTTACAGAGAAGAGTCCTCTTTGTGAAGAATATCATTCAGTGGAAAGCATATTTCAAAAAGCCTCCATTGATAAAATACTTGGATGTTAAGAATAATTAGAGTTCATATATAGGATGTCATCCTTACACTATCATACTATAGAAGCCTAGCACCAGGCAAGATATTTTGCTCCAAAGCAACTACTTCTCTTCATGTGAGTTGTCATAAAAAACATCAAGGACTTTCTGGTAATCTAATTTAATGAATTGTATGATCTAGGTAATTTCTTCATATGCTAAAATTTGCATGAGTCAAGATTATTTGGAGGTGATGGTTCCTACAGGAGCATGTCAATTTGCTTCAAGTCTTGGGGAAAAAGATTTGCTGATTTTTTCTATCAAATTAGTATTTGTCCATACTTTGAACTGATAAAGAATGCTTTGGAACCAGTATGGGTTCCACTAGAAGCCATATTCATTATTTCTGTTTGCTCAGATACTTGACTATTACAATATTATATTGGAATGCTTGTCATCAACTTAATGCCTAGAGTCAGCCGTCATCTAATAAGCAGCGGCTGGGCAAGATTTACACAGTCTTTGATAAGGTATCTTTATATTACTAGTACAAAGAAGAATTTTCAACTTTTATTTATAATGGTGATTAACAATAATGTTAAGGCAGAATTTCTTCAAATGATCTGAAGGATTTCTTGGACTTGCTGTTTGTGAAATAAGATACCAGTTGACTCCCTATTTCTTAGTTGTTTACTTTTCTTCAGTTATTTCTCAGCCATCATATGATGCCTCACAGGTTGGCTATCCTCTACCGTATGCATAATAGACTCCAAAGAGAATGTAGTATCTGTCTTGTTATTTGCTAATGAACTAGAAGAAATTCCAGAATGAGCAGAAAGTCTAGTAGAAAATGCAATACCTTGTCTGCCCTTGACTTATTGGCTACACAATTGGATACACAATTTTCTACTGTTTACAGCAGTAGATTTCAAAGCAGAATGAAGACTGGATTGATATTGTCTTCCAAGTTATTCACTAGCATACTATAGAGGGAGATTCCAGAGGTCCATAGAATCTATTAGAAAATGCAGTGCCTTTGTTATATTGGTAGTCACTTTTGAATTGAGTTTGCACACAGAAAAATACAAAAATCAGCAATTTGTTTCTCTTCACAAGGATTAATCTGTTGTCTCAAAATGGACAACACCTTAAAAAAAATGATGTGCACTTCCTAATTTAAAAGAGCTATAGTTATACATCAGATGGAAATAGGATAGGATCAGAAACAAAAACATACTGTGTTTTAGATCCTGAAAGTCGAGAGCTCAGATTAAGGTCAGCCTCCAGATTTGCAAATAACAGCAAACTTCTAAGCATGAAAACAGTAAAAATTAAAAGTTGAAAAAAACGTAAGTTTTAATATTTTTCTTTGAATATTTGACAACAGAGCTATCTAAAATGTATTTGTGATGGCATTTTAGAAATTCCTCAATTTTAAAAATTCTTTTAAATGTTATGCTGCTATCTGAGAAAGGTAATTTTGAAGCGTGAATGAAGCTATGCTTATATGAACTTTACATAATTTAGAAAATAACTATGAAATAACATAATTTAGAATAGTTTCAGATTGCATTTAGGGCTAATACACATTCCTGCCTCATTATTTTAATTTTTTTCAGTCCCATTGGAAAACGTGTTGTGTGTTTATTAACTTATGATCGATATTGTGGGGAACTCTTTTTATGTAATCCTTATCTGTTATCAGTTTACTCATAGTTTATCCTGGGTGAAGTTCTGTTATAGAATAGTTTTCACAGGTTTTGAGTGGCATTATTGCAGTATGATAGTGTATTTTATGCTGTATATAGCAGAAGACGGTGACTAAATTGAATTATATCCAAATGATGAATGATGTTCAAATAATTTCTATGTTCATTCTTGTCTTATTTTATAAATGTGATTTTATTGGTGATACATCTATCAGTAGTAGAAAGAAATATGTTTTCTACCACTTATGAGCGTGTCACCTTTGCTCTGTATTCAGGATTAGAATAATACAAAAATGGCATTTTTCAGTTATTAAAATATATTTATATTTAAATGACTTAAGCCAGTTTAAAATTGAATATACATTATAAATATATAAAAATTTGCCTACCTTTTAAAATATCTCAAGACTATAACAGTAATACTGTAAAGAGCCTTGACTTGAATAATATTATTTTTGCCAAATGTTTACAGGACTTTGGTCTTTCATTATTAAGGTGCATTTTGTGTACGACATCACAAACTCTTTCAGCCCCATTCTCAATAATACTATATTGACATCATTGTCCTTTAGGTCATAATCTTGCTCCAATGGGTATTACTCAGTTTTTTTAAATGTATCAGTGTCTTTCATTAACCTACCTTCAGTTAGCAGTGTGGTGTTTGCCAGTTGTGTGATTATATTTATCAGATGTCTTGTAAATATTGGGTAAGCTGTATAAAGCGTTCCATCCCAAAATTGTGTTAATGATATTTTTAGAATTATTTTGTTTAAATCATGTTAGGTAATTTGAGACATTATATTTTATTTATATTAAATACTATCTCAGCAATAGAATCATAAGTCAGAATATTTTTTTTATGTTTCTTTTAATCAACTAGCAAAGATTTCTTCCTAATGTAATTGCTAGGTATAGCTAAAGTTTTGAAATCTTGGAGCCTTTAAAACAATGTTTATTTAGTTCTGCTGAAACACAATAATATTGAAGACTTAATAATAGGGAATTTAATTTGGCATGTTTTGCAAAAATGATGTGAATATTGCATTTGTAGCTTTATCTCTTTTGAGGTTAACTCTTGTCTTATAAGGATGGGCTAGATTGGAGATTAAGGCCCTGTTTTATTACAGACATGTT